CACACACACACACACACACACACACACACACACACACACACACACACTGAAGCTCAATAGGAAAAGAGAACTGTTGAATCCATCAGCAATGTCTACAAATATTGGAACAATTTGGCTTTAAGGCATTATTTTTTTTTCCCCTTAGGGGATTCTTGCTGCTTGTCCAGGTTGATATTCTGAGTAGCAGGTTCTGTAATTATGATGCAGAGTAAATAATTATTCTTGGGTTGAATTCAACAACAACAAAAAAATAATTCTTTTGTTCACCGTTTGCCCTGTGCCTTGGCATTTCTCCTGCTGTGGCATAATTCTCTGTGCCCTTGTGTTTGTAAAATGTCAGTTAGTCTCAAAGCCTTGTGGGTGATATGTACTGGGGTGAGGGATTGCCGAAGGGCATGCATTGTGAAGAGGTGTCCTTTGGAAGTGGGGGGCAGTGATCTTTATGAGGGGCTTCCTGCTGGTGTTGGGTATGAGTGTCCAGGTTCAAATGATGGAAGCCTGGGTAAGATATGGTCTGTGTGTGAGAGACCGACAGACCGACAGACAGACAGACAGACAGACAGAGAATGTGTGTATTTGTCTAGATTCAGGATCTAGACACCTGGGTTCAATAAAGGTTGTGTCCAGGTTCCAGTGCTGGAAGCCTGGTACTCAGTGTGAGACCTTTATAATTGGGAATTAATGCAAGGTTAAGTATATCAGGAGGGCATTGCTCTCAGGTAGTGTGAATACTGGTCTTATGGAATGAGTTGTTTTTCCAGACATTCTGGAAAAGCCTGGCCCCTGAGTCTCTCATTCTGTGGCTCACCGTGGGATCACTGTACTGACAGCTTCTCTTTTCAGCCATGAGGCCATCTCCAGAGCCAAAGAGATGTTCCTGAACTTCCAATGTTAGGAGATAAAATACACCTATTTTTTCTTATAAAGAACTCAGCCCCAGGTGTTTGTTTCATCAGCAACAGAAGTCAGGCTAAGGTTGTTAGTTTTGGTTTGCCTTGATAGAAACTAAACCCTATCTACCATATGTCTTAAAAGTACTAATGAAGGGCAACAAGGTAGCTCAATGGGTAGAGGAACCTGCTACTAAGCCTGATGATGTACAAACCTTAGGGCCCTACATGGTGGAAGGAGAGACCCAACTCCAAGAAGTGCCTCTGACCTCTGTATGACCACACACTTAGCCTGTGTGCCATCTCCTCCTCCCAACCCCCACACAGAATCTGTGGCGAGTAAAATACAGTTTTGGTTTAGGTGTTCTTCCTTGCGCATCAGGTTGACATAGGATCATTTGCACTTGTTGGTAAAAGGCTGTGCTGTTTTGCACAAATCATCTTCATTATCTGTCAAAAGACTTCAATGCCTGTGAGTGAGAACAGCAGGATGGCAGGCTTCCACATCAGGATGAGCTTGTCTACGCAAAGCCAGATAGAAATAAGCCAATCCTACTTGAGAAGGCTCAAGGTGAAGTAGGGAGGTCTAGAGGCCCAGCTTCCTATCTCATCTCACTAAGACAGCCTACCTACAAATACCCACTATGGTTATGCAGATACGAATGCTATGACTTGCTCACAGGTGTGACAATGTGCAAGGATGCTCATACCATGCATTGGAAAACCCATTCCCAGGTCAGATGGAATCAATTAAGGAAGCTCCCTTAGCTTAATAGAGTTGTTGCAAGTATGAGCACAGAGAAGTGGGTTTTTTTGTTGTTGTTTCTTTGTTTGTTTTGTTGTTGTTTTGAGACTGGGTCTCATGAATCCCAGTCTGCCCTCACAGTCACCATGTAGGGCAAGGGTGACCTTGAATTTACCCAATTACATTAAATGGTACTGTCAGTGTATAATATTATACACTGAGTTATCAATATATTAGTTTTCTTCGGCATCTTTTTCCTTGCAAGTTTAAATACTGTTTCTGGATTGTGATTCTGAGACAACTATAAGACAAACGTGGTGGATGAAGACACTTGTTTATGGTACCCGACAACCCTCTGTCTGACACAGTTTGCTCTGCCAAGTTTGGATTTAAAGATAGCAGACAGTTGCAGAAGCAGAAGCTGAACACTCAGAATTCATCGGCAACTAGAAATTGAGTGAGGCAGACAGTCCATCATTCTGTGTCTGAGGAGCTGGTACTACCTTCATGCCAACTAGACAGGTCGGCTTCTGGCCAGAGAATGCCAGCACCCTGCTGGAGGTGCGGTTTGTCTAACGTGCCCACTGTGGATGAAGTATACAGTTCAGTCCCTATGCTAATGTTCCTCAGCACATCATGTGGCCTTGAACCAGCTTTATTTTTTTTTTCAATTATGTATATTGTCATGCTACATCAACTTGAACAAAAGTTTTCAGGTTCACCTTGAACTCATGATATAGCTGAAGATGGTCTGGAACTCCTGGTTGTCCTGTCTTGCAGGTGTGGACTGGCATATCTGGTTTATTCAGTGCTGAGGGATCAAACCCAGGACTTTGTGCAGAGTTTACAAGCCCTCTACCGAGTTACAGCTCTAGTCCATTGTGTGGCTTTTGGTTTTTGGTTTTTGGTTTGTTTTCTCAAATTTTGAATTGTTTTAGTTAACAGAACTATTTGGTATATTTTACAAATATGCCATAGGTTATATCCCTGCTACCAAACAAACATTGTGAAACATTTCCCACTGTGAAGAAAATAGAAGTATACAGAGTAAAAGGTAAAAACAATTGCAAAAGGCAAAGGCAAAAGCTGGCTGTGATTTCATATGTGTGAACAACATATAAATTGATAATTTTTTCTAACACAGCTTCTCTCATGGGTCTCTTCTCAGACACTCCTTACCTGAGTAGCTACTGTCCTAGGCAGACTGCAGGAAATTTGAGTCAGACACTATTTCTGCATCGTTCTGTCTATCCTGTTCATCAGGTGAGAAGTTCATTTTAAATCACTCCTAGAGAACCATTGCCAGCAACTTTAAGTCACCAGTAGGTAGCCCTGACAAACCAAAGCAATCAAAGATCCAGCCATCGTTAAGATGAATTATTTTAATGACTTAAATGGATGGACATAACTGATGTAGGCGGGAGCAATCCAAGCAATCTGGCGAAGTTCACAGTGACTTGGCCCTACAGCTAGAGACAGTCGTAAAAAGTGCCACCTGTTGACCTACAAACCGAGGGCATACCACGCAGCACTCGAAGACATGCTCATTGTTATGGAGCCCGAGCGAGAACCAAAGCTGGTAACTAGTAGCTGCATGTTTGGGAAATAAAACATTGAGTTACACAGACAAGAATTAGGACCAAGCATGAACCTTCTCCGGGTTGGCCATTTTAAAGGATGACATTTGTAACTATTGCAGTGTGATGGTCAAGCGGTCCAGCATCAACACAAATGCAAATGGAAATAATTTTATTCAACTTTTTGTAGAGGCCACTTAAATAACAATATCAAAACTTGGGTTTTCCAGTGGGATTTTGGTCGTCGTATGAGGAGACGAGCAGGCAGATTGGCTTGGCAGCAGCCCAAGCTGGTTGAACCTAGCATTGCAGCTCCTCATCTTTGGTCTGCCGGGGGCCTCCTGAAGCATTCTGGGAGCTGGCGTGTGCTGTGGAGCTGAGGACCTCCTCAAAACTGCCTCCACCGTGGTTTGTCCCACCTACTTTCGTCTGAAATGGGCAGGCAGAAGAAAATCCAGTTAGTTTTTCATTATCGCTTTTGTAACGTTTTAAAAATAAGAGTTCCAAAAGTTTAATTACTTTTGAGTTCAGAAATAACTTATTTTTCTTCAAAGGCACATGACGTTAGAGGGGTTGATTTTTTTTTTTTTTTTTTTTTTTTTTTTTATGGTCCAGAATGTGATTCGTCTCAGTTCTGGGACAAGATTCCAAACTTCACGTAGATTTAGAATCCGTCCCTTTATCACTTCTACTTATAAAATTCTAATCCCTGTAGGAATATAATCAGATCTGTGCATGGGCAACACCTGTCCCTATTCACCTAGAGAATTTATCCAAGCAAATTGGAATTGGATCTTAGATTAAGTCTTCCATTTTCACAAATGTATAAACATCCCTACGTGACTTATACTTAGGTTTGCTATTTGAGACATATTAGAGGCCAATCCTAATTTCTGAAAACGTCTCTCTTTTGTGTGTGTGTGTGAATATGCATCTTCATGTGGTTGTGGATACATGTTTTGTGTAGGTGTGCATGCACATACTACATGTTTATGTATGTGGAGGCTACAGGAGAACCACAGGTGTTATTCCTGGGTGCCATCTAACTTTTTTTTTTTTCAGACAAAGTAGGGAAGGATGGCCGGCCAGCAAGCCCCAGGGATCTCCCCATCTCCACCTTCCCAGAGTTTGGGTTACAAGTGTGCATCACTGAACCCTGCACTTTTAACAGGGATTCTTGAAATTCAACTCTGGTCATTCTGCCTGCAGGACAGGAGATAGCTTTACTGAGTTATCACTCTAGCCTATCTCTGACCCCACCACTTTTTTGGGTCTGGGTTTATGATGTTGCTTTGTTTTGCCCTGAGCAGTAGGAAGTTCGTATCTTTCTAGGCAGGTAACAAAATCCTCGAGGAAACTATATGTGGTGGTTTAAAAGAATATGGTCCTCCGCAAGGCCATAAGGAGTGGCACCATTAGGAGGTGTGCCTTTGTTGGAGTAGATGTGACCTTATTGGAGAAAGTGTGCGTTGTGGGGGCGGGCTTTGAGGTCATCTATGCTCAGGCTATGGCCAGTGTGGTGCACAGTCTCCTTCTGCTGCCTCTGGATTAAGATGTAGAACTCTCAGCTTCCTCTCTAGCACCATTCCTACCCGCATGCTGCCATGCTTCCCGCCATGATGGTAACGGCCTAAACCTCTGAAACTGTAAGCCAGACCCAATTAAATGTTTTCCTTTATAAAAGTCGCCTTGAACATCGTGTCTCTTCATAGCAACAGGAATCCTAACTAAGACAATATCAGATAGGTCCGTTTTGTGCCTTTATTTGAGTCAATAGAAACAGAAAGAAGTCAGTTTACATTTTAAATAGGTGCTTAAGTATTTTGAATAATTACTCATTAAAAGTTCTTCAAATCAATGGTTTGTATGCTAGCATATGTAGTGCAAATCTGAACGCTCACAATGGCCTTTCTTTAACCATCCACAAAGTGTAAAAACACCAAGGAGAAGGAGAGGAGAGAATAGATAATGCTGCCGTTGCTGAACTAATATCTACAGCCACTGTCACCAGAGTAACTCAGACATGTCCACAGCACGGGAAGGTGCCCATGCTGCCTGGCTTGCCCTTGAAAAACTTAACTGGACAGGGCTAGAGAGATGGCTCAGTGTTGGGGGCACAAGATGCTCTTGCAAAGGACCCAGGTTTGTATCCCAGCACCCATTTGGCAGCCTCTAACCATCAGTGACTTCAGTTCCAAGGAATCTGAAACCCTCTTCCGACCAACATGGGCACCAGGCATACTTGCAGCGCACAGACATACACATAGGAGAAACACACATGGTAAAGGAAATTTAAAAAACAAATCTGTAAAACTTAGCCAGGGTTAAAAAAGCAGTTCATTCGTTAAAAATCTCTCTGATTCAATTGTCATAAAAATCCTTTTGCCTTTTAAAATTCAGTTATTAAATCGACTTTTCTACATTGCTTACATCAAATGTTTGTTTGTGTGTTTGTTTGTTTCCCTCAGAGTCTTCCTGTGTATCCCAGACTGGCCCATAACCCTACATAGGCCAAGCTGACCCTAAACTCTTAATTCCCCCTGCCTTAGCTGGTACTACCATAGTGCTACCATGCCTAACCAGAAGAACAATTTCTGTGAAAGGCCAAAGAGTAAAATATTTCAGACTTCAGGATCGTCATCTTGCACATTAATACTTAAATGAGCTGTTGCAGGAAGCAGCCGCCCATCGTGAACACACGTGGGATGAGTAGGTATGGACACTGGGATTTGAATTTCACATAATTTAAATATCATACGTCACAAAAATATTATTTTGATATTTTTATACAACTAAATACACAAAATCAATTTTAGCTTGTATATAATCCAAAAAAGAAAAAAGAAAAGAAAAGAAAAGAAAAGAAAAGAAAAGAAAAGAAAAGAA